AAGACTGTTCAATCGAAGAACAAAAACTACTAATGGAATAAGAGACATCACTTAGAAGCTAAAAAAAATAAGGAGGTAGAGAAAACCAAATCTGACAGAGGAAAGAAGGAAAATAAGAAATTTACGAGTCATGAAAAGGTATTACTCAGGCAAAGTCACCAGAACTGGGTTCCAGCAGAGATAATGAGGCCTGAAGGACACCGCTCATATAGAGTACAAACAGAAGATGGAGCTACCTATAGGAGAAACTCATGGCACTTGAAACCTACTGTCACATCTTCGGGCATTAACCCTTCTATGTCCACAAATTCTCCTTCTCCAGTCGCTGATGCACCTAGCACAGGCTCCGTTTCTCCTTCAACCTTACAAGCAGTGGTGCAACAAGTGGCGTATCAAAATTGATCCCAACAAAACTTAAACCATCCTATTTCGACATCCTGACCCCACTACCCGCCCTAAAGCAAATCCCGAAAACTTGAACCTCAGATTCTTAGGAGAAAACCTCGGTGTCCTACTTAGGGGTCACTTTCACGAGAACTGGGAGGTCGACCTGAAAGAAACTCTGGACAGAGTCCAGAAGAGAGCAAGCATGCTAAAAGCACTAAGAGGCAAGCTCGGGAGGTGCGACAGTAAAACATACTTATAAATCTTCCATCAGACCAGTCCTAGACTTCAAAGCGATGATATACTGTACGCTTCCCCCGAAACTATCCCAACGTATCCTAACTATCGAGAGAAGAATCTTACGCAACATCCACAACCTCCCTTTCCGTCACCTATCCCAAAACTTATATAACCTAATAAACACTACACCTATCAACCTACGATTTCAGGAACTTCAGGGACGATATGCGACTAGAACGATGAGCAGTAGCAACACCGATGCCATCAACTCGCTGACCACACCGCGGACTCTTCGTGGGGGACCCAGAAGGATTCCTAGGAAGAAGCTCCCGTTTCCCCCAGCCAGACTCCTGGGAACAATGGAAGATCCGCCGGAGCAGATCCAGGATATCCTAGAGGAATACCCACTTGGAATCAAATAGAGGATAGCTACGTCCAGAAAGGAGCTGAAATCTGAAGCCATGACCCACAGCCTTATAATCCGTACACTAAAAACCCCAACGACCACTGCAACTGACCCGGAACACTCTAACGAATCAACGGAAAGGCTAAAAACGAAAGGAACACATGACACACACACATACATTCAATCCACTAACCCTTAAGAGGCATAAGCCTATAGCGGGGCCCCACACAACACAATACACATTCACAATATTTTGTGAGTATTGTTAAAAATCAATAAACATTTTTGACTTGACTTGACTTGTCCATTTTGACTCTCAATAAACTTATCGATGCAGAAACCGGAATTATCTGACCTGACATTATTATATCCGGTTCGGAGACATTTATCTTCATGGATGTCTGGGTTTTTGTGCCATTGAATTGAACCTGGTTACTTTCACCCCAATTCGAAATTACTTCTAGATCCGGTGAAGATGTGCTTCCGCAGCCGATGTCCTGGGATCCAAAAGCTGTTGTCAGCAAAGCAATATATTGGATTCTGGGTGTTTTCCAGTAAGTCGTTGATGTACAATAAAATAAAGGTTGAAGATAATATGGATCCCTAGGGAATACCAGCGTGGATGGTAAAAGTATTCGTGAGATATCCATCGAGAACCACTTGCAGGGATAGTTCTTTCAGGAAACTAAAGAGCCATACACAAAAATGATCTGACAAGCCATAGCATCGACGTTTGGCCAGCAAATTCTCATGCCACACACTGTCAAAGGCTCAGAAATATCAAGCGCAACAGCTCATGACTCTTCATGTTTCTCGATTGCATTATTCCAAATATGGGTGACATACGATCTTCGTTTCCGAAAGCCATATTCATGATCGCTTAAGATGTTGAAGCCTCCCAAATATTTGAGGATACGGTGGTTTACGACTTTCTCTATGATTTTTGATATCACTGATAGCAAAGCGACTGGTCTATGGTTATTCGGAAAAGTTTTCTTGCCATTTTTGGAAATAGGCTGAAAGCGAGCAATCTTTCAACAAGGAAGAAAAACTCCTTTTTTGTAAAACAGGTTGAAAAGTCTGCAAAATACTGCTGTGACTTCATTTGCGCACTTTTTAAGTACGATGACTGGCACTTCATCAGGACCAGACGCCTTGTTGATATTGAGCTGTTTCAAAATTCGCCTGACTAGACGCTGTCGAAAAGTAATTTCCGGCTTTGTGGATTCTAGTACCTTTCTCAGAAAATCGACTGTGGAGTGGGACACAAATTGTTCAGTTGGCAGATTTGCTTTTTCTATGGCTGTTTTTGCAATTGAACCATCCGCCTGTGTTAGTGGTGGAATTGTGGATTATGTCAAGTTCCGACACATTCAGCTACCGACCCTAAAGATCTAGACCCGTTGGGAATGGCAAGCAGTTTATCCCTAATTCTCTGATTGTGAAAGTCCTTGCTTCCATTTATCCAAGTTTGCGTCTATTGTGAGCATTAACAAGTCTAGTTCGGTTTTCGACAGCTTGCTCGCAATTTGTGTTGAACCAAGGTTTGCCGTTAGAAGGTCGTTTCATTGAAAAAAGTTATAATTCTACACCAAAATATTTGATTTGTTTTATAATCATTTTCATTTTTCATGAATGCCTTCCTTTTATACAGATATAGGATGAAGAAAATAACTTTTTTCTGATTTCTAACGAGTTTTTCATTTGTTACGACTGGTTTCGGTTTGTTGAACCATTCTCAGTTCACTCGAGACAGACAAAGGTTATTTTCTTTATCCCATATTTGATATGATTTTTTTCAAAATAAATAGGTCATCAATCGAACAAGCCTAATTTTTATCCATGATAATGGAATTTTCACAGCATACATTTCTATCAAACACATTCCTTTTGCAACACCTTTAGATAGGTAAGGCATTTCTTCATATATTTCTGAAAAGACAATTTTTTCATATTTTTCGAAGGCGGAGAAAAAAGTTTGATCTGAAAGGCACTTCTGGACCAGACTTTTAGAGGAGTAGTGTTCTCTTGAATTCCATTTACACAATTTCTAATTAAATTCAACTGATTTTATATACATCTGTGAATGGCCAGCTCTTCATTATTTTAGATAGTTCGAATAGGAACATAGAATTATGATTAACTCAAACACAGAACGAAAGCTCCAGCATCGGAAATGTTGATGGCATTGAAGACAGTAAAAACTGCATGAATAATATAACTTTAATAATATGTTCGTATTCTGATAATTTCAAATCAAGCTACCACAAGTATAATTTGCAATGTATCAAATAATGAGTTGGTTATCTAACAAATATCATCAGAAAAGATAACTCGTTTACTCCGTCCGACTCAACAAAAAACTGTTGTTGGTAATATGGCCACACCGATGGTACTGATAACCTCAAAGTGCGTACTTCAACTAACAAATAAATCCCCCCTATCGTGGCTGAAATGCAATTACATTAACTGATTTAGATTTACGACGCATTGGATGAAGTATCTTATTCATTGGTGAATTTGTTGTATGAGGTCAATATGCTTTGTTTTCTTTTCTTTCTTTAATTCCTTCAGTTATGACGTTTTTTTTTGTCACAGATTACTTTTTCAAAAAAAGAAAACACGTTTTCTTCACCAGAACGAAAATAGTGACTCTTAACTCGCATTTTGCTAACCAAATTAGCATGATGTTAAAGTTGATGTGGGTTTACAAAATTAAATTTTAATTATTATTTTTATTATTACTTTAGATGAAAATTTTACTCAGATCGACT